TCCAAAAAGGATAAAGCCATTGGTTGTGAGGTAATATTATGTAAGCTTGGCTGAAAATCCTGATGGATTCGCTGGACAATTCTTAGAAAAGGTTGCAGACTCCTTTTTCTGAGAAAAATAATTTCAAAAGATAATTTTAACACTAAAAAATCTCGCTTATCTGACAAAAATTCTTATCAAAATAAGTGGAAGATCATAAAAAATAATTAATTGAAAGTATAACCCAAAAAATCGGAACGGAAACCCAGATAAACTAATTTTCTCAGCCTCTATTCCATCCTACAATCCTCACACAAACAAACAAAAAAAATATAACAAAACAATAAAAAAAAAAAAGAACGGAGCGCAAATTTCTGAAGGATCAGCCAGGATTCTGCTTTGCCACACTAATCGTTTATTATGATCAACGAGCTGAATCAATAAAAACGAAACGAAACCGAAGCGCCTACTTCAGGACTTGTCATCGTCCTGTTCGTGGTTCGATGTGCGAGTCCTTTCGTTCCCATTGCCCATCCCCATGTGTTCGGGATCCTTTGGCAACCTGTTTCACAGGGTTGGATGTCCTTTTGTGTGTGCGTTGGAGTGTTACCGTTGTTGGCCGTGAGAATTCCATGCTCGCAGGGGTAACAGGTCCTGCCAGCGATGGTGTACACTGTACAGGTATGCAAAAGTCAAATTTGTTTGCTATGGGAATTTGTGAGAAGGTGTCTGGCTTGGGAAAGTCTTTAGATGGGAATGAGTGCGATATGTGGTGGGAATTCAGCTCCTTTTTGTTTGCTGAGAAATTTTGATGAAAACGCTGTGGAAATTGTGGGCGGTGGAGCGAATGATATATCAGCTAACAGAAGAGTTAGGGGTTTGGCTTTTTCAAAAGGTTTTTCAAGATTTTATTTCTTTGAGGAAAATATTTGTTATAAAAGAAGAATTAAATGGGGTAATTCTTAATGAAATAAAATTACACATTATTATATATTGTTTGCTCTAAAAATATTAAAACTTCAAGAGTTATTTAAGGAGGTTTTTTGAAGTATTCTTAAAAACATCATGTTTTGATCAAAGGCTTCTCTAACTTATATTTATTTTTAATTTAGTTCCATTATTAAAGAACCTTATGTAGAATTCTAAAAAAAAAACACTTTTTTCCTTTAACCCGAATTCTAATTCAATTTCGAAATTCATTTTCACAACCAAATGTTTCCGATTTCTGCTAATTTCCGGTTCTTCTCCATCTCTTCCCAGGCTCCTTTGAGACAATTCACCCAAATTTCGTGCACTTCCTTCCGGTAAGCGGAACTGGCTGGCTGGCTGGCAGGCTGGGAAGCAAAGGAGAGCAGCAGGGCGATGGGCACGCAGAAAGGATATTTTGTGCCCAAAACAATAAATAGAAATCTAAATTGCAAAATATGGGCCACGGCCTGTGGGAACCTGTCCTCGGGAACCAATTTGATGTGGGCCCACCCTCGCATCGATAAGATCGTTGGCCAAAAAATACAAAAACTGAAAAAAGAAAAGAAGGTGCTGAGAAAATCTCATTTGTTGTGGCAGGGCAAAGGGTCTCATTTTTCGTCTGGGAGAGAAACATTTTGTTTGTTTGTATTCGGAAACAGGTTAACAGGTATTTAGCCCAGAGATCAGTCAGGATTAGGGCGATGGATGGATGGGAATCCATATTTCGAGTGGGTGGTCATTGGCGGGCATGTGGAATCCATTGGGAATCGGTTGGAGCATGTTCCTTGTCCCATAAATCACAGATTCGTGGATCAAGTGGCTACAGGACTCCATTTGCATCAACATTCCAGGACACATACTCACACATTAGCCAAGCAATTAAGGACTCTGGGAAAAAGGATAATGAAGAAAGACTGAAAAACGAGATTGAAATTAAATGAAATGGTAATTTGATACGCGCACACTTATGAAGTGCGTTTCTCAAGGACTCGCAGCCAGGCATCCAGGCTGCCAGGCAGGTAGTCCTGCGACTGAGATTCCATCGAGCATGTCCTTTCTATGGCCTCACATTGGCGCATCGAATCGCAATGCAAGCAAACAGATCCTTGGCCCCTAAGATCGATCGATTTTCCAACGATGAGCGTTAATTAGATTTGCACCCAGCGGTCCTGATCAAAGGTGCTCCGGTCAGTCGTCAGTGGAGAGATGGTAGTTCGGATCTTCGGGAAATCACAGATACACACCTGTGGGCATGGGAAAGGACCCCACGCATCCAGGACACTGTGCACTTGCACACACATCTCTCTCCCCAGGACGTTCCATTGACTGACCTTTCCTCCTTTGCGTTTCCCATTTAGTTTCCATTGTTGTTTTGCAGTTCCTTTTATTAATTTGAAGTGCCCGCACTTCATGCAACTGTTGCGCTTGGCTGGCCTTCGTTTCTTCCTTCCGGAAGGATGTCCCTCCTACCTTCGGCCAGCCTATTGTGCTGGCCAGGAACTTCCTGTGGGTCACTTGGGATCCTGTGGCCAAAACAATCTATTGTTAATTAATTTCACTGGTCAAGCAAGACGCCTGGGAATACGAAGCCAAGACGAAGGCTGGATTGTCTGTCAAGTGATCATTAAAGGACTAAGGAACATATACTGGTAATATTTATCATTTGGTGGGAGACATACATTTGTGAGGGGTTTCTTAGGGTTACCGATTGGGTATCAGGGTATATGTTAGCTTTGTAAAGGACATATTCAAAGGAAATATATATCTGTATAGTTACCGAAGCTATTTGCCCTAAGCTATATCTTTCACCTTTTTTCTTTCTTCTGGTCCTTGTTGAAACTCTAAAGCTTACTTTTAAGCTTTGCAATTTAACGGAAATTTTAATTTGAATTTGCCCGAAGCTGCCAGACTGAAAAGTGTTCGGGTGCTGCCACTTCTTTGAACTCCCCTTTATTTTTATAATGGTTGTGGAGAAATATTTGCACACCGGATGCATGTATTCCGGAATATTCCGGCCCGGAGTTCAATTTTATTCTCGATTTTTGGTATATGTTTCTTATTTTAAAGAGTTATTGGCATCGAAAACAGTAGTAGCCAAGTTAACAACCAAAGGCAGCAAAGAAACTAAACAGCAAGGTTGAAACATAGATGGCGCCATGCATGCCATGCAGTTGCTTCTATTGCTCAATAGATGGTGACATTTAGTGCTTCAATGTTTAATTTTCATTTAATTAATATATTTATATTGTTAATAAAAGAAAATATTTACTATTCATAAAAATCATTTTTTTTTAATTCATTCTTTGATTTTACTCTAAAAAATAATTTTTACATACTAAAGTTTACTTAAGTCCATACTAAAGCCAATGTTTGATTAATATTAATTTTATTAATTTAAAATATAAGTATTAAAATAATTTATTGTACAATTCTTAATTTAACCATAAAATTTCAATCCAGAAGCTTTTAATTTTAAAAAATTCTATAAAAGAAAGGACACACTTTTCCATTCCCTCCTAAACTTACATATGTCATCGCAGGACTGCAAAACGGGGAAGTCCTACGACTGTCGCCCCGAAACCGCCACGTCCCACCTCGTCCCACCTCCAACCGATGTATATTTTTTATTATGCCAGAAGGTCTTTTCTGCTCCTTCGAAATTCATTTTAATTCGTTTTTATTTCTTTTTAATTTTTATTACATTTTCGTATATTAGCTTTGACTTTGCTTTAGTTGTATCCACTTTGAATTATTTGCTGTTTGTTTTCCCCGCTCGCTCTTCGGGCTAAAAAATAAAGTAAAAAATATAGAAAACGACAACAACAACAGCGGCGTATAGTACTTTTTTTTAACAGCATTGTTTTACGGACTTATGGAATGGGCTGGAGTGGGTGGTTAAAGGGGAAAGCTGAGTCTGAGCTAAGGACGGGGCTCTGGTGTTCCGGGTCCGGGTCCGGGTCCGAGTCCGGTTTTGTAGTTATTGTCCAACGTTGACTGTTTACGCCGAATGCTCTGCGCCACGTCGCGATCCGCGGAGTAGGAAATTAAAAATGGCGAAATAAAGTTAAATTTTTTATGGCTTGTGCAAATAAGTCACAGTCCTCGTCGTCGCCGAGGTCCCGACAGTCCTGCCCGGCTCGGCCAGGCCAGTCGGCAGGATACCCTGCTTGGCTCCTGCCTGGTGGACATCCTGGCCCAGCTAATGTGCCCCAGAGTGTAGTCCATCGCTTGTTAAGCAAGAAAATAATATTAGCATTAAGCGTTTGTCTCTGCGCCTCTGACAGCCATGGCGCCACATCCTGCATCCCATCCCGTTTCCCAATTCTTCATCCTCTATTTTTTTCTGATATTTATTTTACAAAATGGGCGACAAACTTGCCTGGTTTCGGCTTCAATTTTTGTTGCTTTTTTTTGTGTTTCGCTTATCCAGGAGTTGTAGTTTGCTCCTCTTTTTCCTCATATGAAGCACATCCAATTAAGCAGCTCTGGAAGTGGTCTAAAAAATGAGTTATTGTGGGCGGGAAGAGGTGGCTTGGCGGGTGCGAAATTGTTGGCTTTAAAGAGATCTCGGGGAATTGGAATTAACAAGGACGTGAAAGGCTTATGGGCATCCTAAATTACCAGCTAGATAAACCTATTATCATTAGGGGTTTCTCTTGAAAACCGATTAAATAACCATCTCCCTAAGACCTACCTCAACTGGTAGCTCTATGAATCCACTTTTATGGTCACTGCCAACTTCTCACCTAATTCAGAGTGTGCCACTTATTTTATTGTTTCTTTGAAAACCAGTTTTTGATTGACACACTTGCACTTTCTTTCAATTAACCGCCAGATATGATCGTGATATGTTTTCTTTCTTTTCGGCGGTAACTGCTTTCGAGACCCTAATTAAGCGGCATTTGAGGCAGGAACCGGGCGTGGGTGCCACAGAGGTGTTGAGAGATGGAGATGTAGGCAGATCGCGTGTTGGCGATCCATTCTTAAGAGACCGTCTCCGGACGGATCACGTTCAGTGCTCGGTTAGACGTCGCGAAGTCGGGAACATAATCATGTGGCATCCACATCTCTTGCTAGTAGTGTCTTTTGAGATATTTTCCACGGTCAGGGCCCTTTACGAACAGTGCAATCATCAGGTTAAACTGCAATCGGGCCAAAAGCTGCTCATCAACTCGCCCTATTACCCCGCCTTGTATCCTGTCGGCACATCCTGTCGCTATGCCGTGGAGGCCCCCAAGGATCAGGTGCTGCAGTTCAAGTGCGAGCTGCAATTACAAACGGTGGGAATATTTTCTTGTGAAAAATAGAAGAAGTTTTAATTTGTAATGGATTTTTTTCCACTAAAGCTTGCCAATGATTTGAAATGCCGCTCGGAGGTCTTTCATTTCAATTCCGAAGGCGACGAGGTGTTAACAAGTTCCGAGTACTTTTGTGGCAGCGGAAAATTCGAGCGCAAAAGTTTTCTCAATCGTGCTGTGATTTCCTACATATCCACTGGCCAGGCCCAGCCCCCCTCGACTGTCAAGTTAAAGGATAAGCTCACGGGTATGCCGCAAAAAACAACAACTTCTACTTCCACAACAGAGGCCCCCAAAGGTGATTCAATCGAAGAGCAGGATGAGGAAGAGGAGGAGCTGGAGGAACAGGAAGAACCTGAGGAGGACCTCAGCGATGAGGTGTTGCACGTGTTGCAGGATGTGGGCGTTAGCGATGCACTGGCCTATGTGGCCTCACTTCTATACGATGACGAAGAGTCGAGGAAGTCAAGTGCCACGATTTTCAGCATTCCAAAGACTTCCGCAAAACGTGCGCGAATTGTTGCCAACTATCCGCTGGCCCCTCTGCCAGGAGGTGGCCGGTTCACCTGCCTGGTGGAGGCCATTCGGCCCACGTGCACCTGCGGCTGGAGTCGCTACACCTCTCCCCGGATAGCCAGTCCCGTGAACGAGGAGGCAGGCCTGCACGAGTTCCCATCCATGGCAGGGGTGCTGACCAAGAAGCAGGGCAAGGTCTTCTGCGGAGCTGCCATTAGTGAGTATATTTCCCTAAACTATATACTTATTTGTTGATATTTCAATGATTATAACCTTTAGTTCATCACCATTATTTACTCTCCGCCGCTCATTGTTTTCTGGGTCCGGAAACCAACAAGGCCGACCAGCTAAGGGTGGTGGTGGGGGAGCACGACTTGGGCAGTGCATATGAGACATTTGCCACCCGGCGCTATGACCTGGAGACCCTGATCCTGCACGAGGACTTTAGCCAGGCCAATGGGCAGCCTAGGAACGACATAGCCCTGCTCAAGACCCGATCGCCAATCGTCTGGAGTCGAAACGTTGGCCCAGCCTGCCTTCCCTTACAGTTCACGGATGATGGGAAGAAACTGCCCTTGACCGGACATCAAGTGGTGGCTGCCGGTTGGGGTACCACATCCTATGGTGGACCCCAGACCCATCGCCTGCTGAAGACCACTCTGGATGTGATCGATAGCCAGCGTTGTCGGCAAACCTTGACCTCGGCTGTGGTTCCGGCGCACACTTTCTGCACATATACGCCCGGACGGGACACGTGTCAGTACGATTCCGGAGGAGCTCTGTACGAGCGGATTCACGGACGCCTAGTGGCCGTGGGCATCGTCAGTTTTGGCCAGGGCTGTGCCACTCAGCAGCCGTCGGTCAACACCCGGGTCGCCTCGTTCATCAAGTGGATTCGCGCCAAGAGCCCCGAAGTGTCCTATTGTCCTGGCCGCATATGAGGCCCAGCAACTACTCTGATTTATGATATTATTGAGGCCAAGATAGTTGGTCCTTGAATAATGGAAACTGACTTGATTAATACCATGCCATGTCCTTGGGGTTACAAATAATAAAAGAAATTGGAAAGAAACTTATGGTCTCATATTTTCAGAGGCTTAAAAGGAATGGTAGATTGGCTCTCAGATTTTCAGTTAATTGGAAAGTTTTAACCCTGTTTTCTATACTTTTCAATAAATGTCCCACCAAATCTCCATCCAAGCCACACGCCACACCCCTTGTTGCAACTGATTGAGCCACTTTGCACCTGCAAGTGGGTGTCAAGTTTGTCGCTCTGCCTGAACGCGTTCGGTATCGATGCCACAAGGATGTGCCCACCACTCGGCTGTCAATCATGCAAGCGACTCGGAACGCCTCGTTGGAGCTCTATGTATCCTTTTGGATGAGGCACTGCAATTAAGCGCAAATGTCAACTAATTAACCTCGGGGCCAGGCGGGCAAACACACACACATCCCCATAAGCCCTCCCCTTCCAGATGTCCTGTCAATAAAATTCCATTCAGCTATTTTATTTTCATCCCGACTGGCGGGGATGTGTAGCCTTTCCTTTCAGATAAATAATTAAACGTTTCGCATAACAGATGAAGCTCGCTTTTAGGCTTAAAGGCAATAGGAGGGACCTGGGAGAGTCTGGTGACTGCGTCTTTTTATTTGCTTCTCTGGAGAGCCAGTTTTTTGTCTAAACTTTTTGCGTCGGCGTTGCACTTTTTCAATGCTTCACCCCAAAGCGAGTTACTAGTGTGTCTGTCTACACAGGGAGAAATTGGGTCGTACTAACGTTGGAAGTATCTTTTACAATACTCATCCGATTCTTAAGTGGAATATCTTAAACGATTTGTAGATCGATTTTCCATCAATCTGCATCAAAATCGGGAAACAAAATATTTTTTAGATTTTTTGTCAAATTTTCTGGGCTATCCCCTTCAAAATGTGGAAAATGCCTGGGGAGGACTATATGGGTTTTGCGATAGCTATATCTTAGCCAATATTTATCCGATCCTTGAGAGGAATACCTTAAACAATTACTAGATCGATTCTCCATCAAACTGTATCAAAATCTTGAAACATAAAATTTTTTTAGATTTTTTGACAAATTTTCTAGGATATCTCCTTCAAAAATGATGAAAAATGCATAAAGTCTCCTTGTGGAAGGATGTATCTTTTACAGGATAGGATATAACGATTTGTATTTCGACAGGCCCATTTTTTTCAGTGATGGTTTTAGCTCGCCTCCATTTCGGAGTTGTTGCAACTCCAATGTATTGGCTGCTTTGCTATTTGTTTTTGCAGTTTAGGTACACGCTGCACGTCCGTGCTTCGGTGCCTTGGAAGCCTGTTGTTCAATTTACGTAAAACGCGGCCAGAACAGGACAGAACAGAACGGGATAGAACAAACGAACAAGCAACGTCAACTGCAGACTGCAGTCTACAGTCGGTGGCATCAAGTGTTGCCTGGGATTGGCGGCTCTGCATAGAAATGGGGAGGGGGGGCTAGTGGATGGGTGTGTGTGTGTGTGTCAGGTTGCAGGGATAACAGGGTGATGGGGTGGTTGCCGTTCTCTGGTGGCACTAATTGAAAAGCAGCAGCCACTAACAGCAGTTGCCGCTAAGGAGAGGGCGATGGGGCTTAGGAACCAATTCTAGTCTTTGGTTACAGTAATATAAGTAGTAATGATCATGATCTAGAAAGATTATTAAAACAAAATAGGCAATAAACATACTTATAAACAGGTTTAAAGACCTCCAAAAATATTAAATCTTGTTTCAAAAATATATAATAAAGGGTTACCGTAGGTTACCATAAGAAGAGTTCTTAAATAATTAAAATTAAAATATTAACCAAGACTCTTTAAGATTTTAATCCAAAAACCTTCTACTTATTACCACTGTATGAAGAAAACCAATGCGCACAATTTTTTGGAGTTTTTCATTTTTTTTTCTGGCAATTTCCTTTGCATACTTTTGTGCTGCATTTGATTACAAAATGGCGGCGCTGCTTTTGCTGCTCCTGCACTTCCTGTAGGCGTCCCGTTGCAGTCCCGTAATGCAGCCTAAACATGGCGTTTAGTTTTCGTTTTGCCGACGAGTACTGCCTGGACTTTGACTATTCATTAGCATGTGTGTGTGTGTGTGTGAGTTGGCCAGTGTGTGTGTGCGTAAGGGTGAGGGCCAAAAAACTCTAACAAGCTCAAAAAGCAATTTGCGATGGGGGCCCAACTAAAAAATTGGCAAAAATATCGACGTGCCGGCTCATGCAATTGACGTTTTGCGGGTGTATATGTAAAAATTCGCGTATCTATGTATGAGAGAGGGCCGGAGAAAGGATTTTCGGGGACTAGGGAATAGGGACTAGGGATCGGGGATTGGGGTCTGTTACATAAAACCACGCGTGGCACAAAAGCCGCCAAATCGTCGTCGCTCTAAAGCCCCAGCAGTGAAAATACAAAATGGCCGAAAATACAAATTCGGGATGTTCCAAAAAACAATATTTGAAAATTATAATTTAAATATTAATGATATTATTATTAATGATATTTAAAATTTTATTTTATATATATTTTATGTATAAATAAACATAAAATATATATTTTAAATAAATATTAAAAATCCCCAGTTTAGACGTTTTTTGGAATCTTGTTGGCAAATATTTTGCTATCCCTCAAAGTAAATTCGTTTTGTGGTCAGAAATTAGTATTTCTGTTTTATTTTTCAGCACAAAGTCCATATATACACACGACTAAGGCAATTAAATCCATTCACATAAAAAAAACCGAATATGCGATGCTGAGTGAAATAAAAATGCAAGAAGCTTAGTTTGAAATTGTGTTTTTTAAGTTTTTTTCCAAAAAAGAATAAATGATAATCGCCGATAAAAAATCCACAAAAAAGGTACAACTATCTCTTTTTAATTAGAAAGTAGGCTAAACTATATCTGTAGAATTATTCTCAAAACAGAGAATTTATGTTTTTAGGCAATAAATTGTACAAGTGTCCTTTAAATACAAAACCCATGGTCGGAATGTGCCTAGGTCGAGCCCTCTGTGGTATAATGCCACAAAATGTGGCGGGGAGCCGGAGCTTGCATCACAAACGCGTGAGAAGGCCACTTCCCGTGGTTCCAGATCGGAGAACCTTTTCCCGGGCTGAGACAACGAAGCCGCCACGGCTGCTGGTCAGAAGCTTCCAAGCCTTGAATCAAATTAACTCTTCCTATATGCGAGAGATGACGAGCGAGGGTAGTGACCAGTTCTTATCGAAATGGAAATGGTTATAGATGCAACTGACGAACCCTTCAGACTTTAATGATATAGAGAATTGGCACTGACTTAATGGGAAAGTAATTGTTTCGAAAAAGTCTTATGCAATAAAATTGTTATGTGTGGTAAACAAAATTTGTATTTATTAGAACTAAAGGGTTTTATGAAGGGCAGCTACCTGCCCTTTTTGGTAGCTATGAAAATTATAGACAGATTTTGTTACAATTTTCAAACCTAGAACCTGGCTTAAAATAATTTTACAACAAAGTTAGCCTAAGTAGGCTCATGGAATACAGTCCTCATACAGTCACAATTCTAAAACCCACTTGTTTATTTGGCTTTGACTCTAAATTTGAAAAGTAATACTTTAAAACTGGTATCGCTATAACCTGCCGCACCATGATGCTGAGTCGAGCCTTGACCGGACTAGCGCCTATGAAGGCGTCCTATTCGAAGCGCAGGATGTCCGACGAGAAGATTACTTTTAAACGAAAACGCGTCAAAGTAATAGCACAACCCCGTCCCATAGCCTTGCCGGATGTCAAGAGACCTCCCTTTCTTCTGGTCAAGAGCTTCTTAAACTTGCGGCAACTTAACAACGAAAACGTTGCGAAGAAGGTGTCGCAAGCTACGGAAGATCTGAGCTTCAAGCCACACCGGACTCTGCTCGTCGGAAACAATCCGTATCTACCAGTTTCGGAGCAGGTTGATAGGAATCGTAGTCATGCGACTTTGCTTCCAAATCCGAGCCCAGAGGAAATCCATGAAACGGATCCGCAAACTAATCAGGAGTCGGATCCGATAGCAGAGACGTCGTGACTCTTGACCACGGTCCATATCGATCCATAGTTTGCTTGTATTTTTAGTTTAGTAAATGTATTATTTTTTCATTTTATGAAAGTTTGTTTTATTGCTTTTTTCCAAGTTTCTAACCCTTCTAACCCTAAATATTGCTGCCCATCTCTGTTGGATGATTGTCATGCAACATGCACTCGAGACTTGGGCACAAAACATAATTAAACAATTAAAAAGCCTTTTGGCACTTGTCCTTACTTAGCCCAATTCGAAACGTAGCACATCAAAGCCAAAACTGGCTTCGGGCCTAATTACGCCGCCAAGTGCAGTGGATGGAAGAGTTAAATGCAAATTTGTTTGGCAGGGGCGATAAAAAAATACATCAAAATTAACTGGCAACAATGAGAGTAAGCTCTGAAATCACAGCTGTAGCGGGACAAGTTAATTGTGCAGCCAGGATCCGGGTTCGGAATGGGATACACAGCTAAAAAAAAAACAGTATTTCTTACAAAAATTATAGACGGTTTTACAAAAATATAGCTTTAGTTTAAAAGTAGTTCTTGGATCTAAAAGAAACTGGCGTAATAATAGAGTATACATTGTTTCTCTGTCTGCAGGCAAGTAGGACAGTGCTTTGCATGAGAAGTGGTCCTCCCAGGCACCAGTCACCAGGACCCTCGACAGTCTAGTCCTGGACTGTAATCCTTGGCGCTCTGCATTTTTTTCTGCCTTCGTTGGCCCATTGATTTTTTCTATATTATAAAATTTATGCTACCCGCTCTGCTTTGTTGCATCCGCTCCGACCCCACACCCTCCTGGGCACTTCATTTTCTGCCTTTGCTTTTTATTATTATTTTTTTTTTAGCATTTTCCCAAGCGCTTTTGAGCTTTTGTTTTCGAGTGCCAGTGCCACCCGAGCCAAAAGAAAAGGGCTTGACAATAAAAATTATGAAGCATATTACTTGAGTGCACTTGGGTGCCTCTTTCCTTTCTTTCTCTTTTGCCACTTTTTTCATTTTGGTCCTGTTTTTGTTTTTCTACATCAGAAGGATGCGCTGGCATCCTGGCAAAGTATGTCGCTAGTTTTTCGAGTGCAAACCTGCGTATTAAGTAGCAAAGCAAAGGGTTAAGAATACTCTTCAAAAGTCTACTCGTTATTTGACCTGACTTCAAATTTTATTATTGTACCTCGCCTCATGTATTTTGGTCTTAAATCTGCATATTTAAAGCATAATGCTGTGCCTTGAAAATACACATATCTAAGACCAAAAATACACTCAGCAAGAGCTCTGGGGTCTAGAGGTAACTGCCGTAAATGAACTTCCGACGAAACTCTGACCAGCGATAGGAGTCCGAAAAGCAGCGTTGCTCCTTCCTGTACAGCTCATCGAAGTGATCCTTTCGCGAACCCCTCCAAATCTTGTTGGCCGTTTTGGCGCGACTGGTCTTCCACTCGCTGGGATGCAGCTCTGTATCGACAATAGGCATCAGTTCCATCTTGCTGAAGTACACCGACGGCATGGTGCGGCGCTGCTCCGGGTGGTAACTGGAGCTGATATCGCCGAAGAATTTTGGACGCGTCCCGATGCTTCGGAAGAGAGTCCGGACTACGGGGGTCCTTCCCATCAGGGTGTTCACTTTCCGGCTCATTTTTTGGTTAAAACTAATATAGATTTTTGAGTTTCTAAAATGTTATTAATAGGTGAGGTTGAACATTCTAATATGTATATATGGTATTTAAAGAAAAGGTTACTAAATTGGGAACATTTCATTTTTTTGGGAAAACCAAATAAAAGTTGAATGAAATCCATAAGCCTAAAATTTCTAGATATTTCTAGTTATAATCAGATGCCATTAAAAGTAAAAGTATTATATTCTTTTTATTAAGTTTCTTGTATAAAATAATAAACAAAAACAATTAGGTTTTAATTAAATATTATATTGTACTTTTTTATGGAGAATTTTGTAGTCCCATACAATACCAAATTTCGAAACGTAAACGTAAAAATGGTTATTCTTGAAACTGAATATTTAATTTGGATCTCATCGTGGCCTAGTATGAGGATCGTCCGTAGATCATGCCGTGCCTGAACTCCGCCCAGCGGGTGCGATGGTTGCGATATGAGTTGTACGGCGAGATCACCTTCTTGGAGATGGACGGTTGGGCAGGTTCTGGCCGTGCAGAGGTTACTCGTTTGAGGAGGTCGTTATCGGCCCGAGACCGCTCCTTCTCGTCCTCCTCGTTGGTCTCGGGCGGACCGAACACGGTCTCCCTCACCGTGCGAAAGGTCACATCCTCCTCCTTTTGGTCATCTTCGAAGTCCATCCTGTCGACGGTGTTTCGAAACCTTTCCTGTGGGTGCTCCATTATCTCCTCCTTCCTGTCACCCGATGCCCCATCCCCGTCAGCAATGTGTCGCGAGTAATGATCGTTTGCGATCCGTGACCTCGCCTGGGCTTGGGTGGTCATACCCGGCATCCGGCGCGGGGCAGCGTGGTCCATCCGGGAGACACTGCGAAACATGTTGTGAGACTCGAGGCGGGAGGAGGCGCGGCTACTCCAGGTGCGCTTCAATTGATTCTGGCGGAGTAGCTGATAGGCGGCGAAGGACTCCTCGCGCGCTGGCCAGTCCTTGCGGTTGGGATTGGTGTGATTAGTTAAGGATGAGCTGGTCAGTAGGACCGCCTTCTCCAAGCTGGATCCCGTGCCGATGGTCCGGCGAGTGCTGCACGCGGTTACCTGGCGCAACGATGGTAAATTCTTCGAGAATATTGGCATCCTTATTTTATGGCTTCCTTTAATCGATTTGGCCCAAACTGGCAAAATGAAAACAAAGTAAATTTTGTATATACGTTTCCGTTTTTGGGGCCAAAAGTTACAAGTTATAAAATTTGCGAAATAAATAAGGACGCTCAGCGCTACTCGAAATTTTGGTTCTATATGAGGGACAATAATTTAGAAACTGATCAACCAGTACAAGTTACTGTTTAAATAAAACTTATGACACTGACACTGCCAGCACTCGGTTGCTATGTTCGCATAAAAGTTGGAAAACCAATGGGGGAGAAAAAAATATTTGTGGTACAAGCAAATAGTATAATTTATTTATGACCACAAGGAATTCAATTTGATTGCAACTTGAGCTTGAGCTGGCCAAGTCTTTCAGGCAAATTAAATAACAAAGCAAAAATGTAGAAATCATAAACCAAAAACACAATTCTCCATCGTCACATGAGCATTTATTAATTTTTCATCCGTTGCAGTTAGGCCGAGGGTCTCGATAAGTTCTCTACTGAATTTAACGCAATTTCCGAATGGGAATAACAACAATAGCAGGACATGAAATTGAGTTAGTACGCAATTACAACAACAATTATGAGTGGAGTTTGCAAATTTTACAATAAATACCAAAGATATACAAGACTTGAAACCAACGGGGTATTTATAGACGAACAATGAATACCTTTTTCTAAAAACAAAATTACATTTAAAGCTTTAAATAATATGTAGTTATAGATAAAGAAATAACTCAATTAGTAAAGTTATTTGTATAATCTTTTAAAATATTTAAAAAAAATAACTATACCCTCTATGAAATAGAGTAGTTGATAAAAGTTTATTGCGTTCAAAGAACTATGCCTGACGGCCTTTGATGGCCTGAGGGGCATGATTGGTTAGGGCGGGGCAGCAGAGCTTGTTCGTTGTTTAAATGTAGGCAGAAACATGTCACTGCTTTTTAATTTAAATGCAAATTAAGGCCTTTGTCAACACTTTGCCAAACTCAAGACAACGACGACAAATGCCTGAAGGCAACTGCAAGGAGTTTGGTTAAGGAATGACTCTGTGGTGGATGTATACATCAACTATAGAACATATTTGAATGCACTTCGAGGAAAATATTGTACAGATTTTGGTCTGAATTTTTTATTTAAAAATAATAAACTTAAAACTAAGTTCAAAGAAGTCCTTGAAATCCCTTTAATTGAAACATTTCTCTCAGTGTTCTATGTAGATAAAAATAGCTTCTAACGAACACAAACCCCACCACCCAAGTAGCGCCACATCCAGTTGAGGTGCGAGGTTATCCGGGTATTGACCCCAATAGCATATGGCTGGCCGCAGGCTCGTCCGAAACTGATCACGCCCAGTTGGAACATACGGTCGCGCTGTCGCAGGATCACAGGACCCCCTGAGTCGTACTGACACGAGTCGCGACCTCGTCCTGTGGCATCGTAGGTACAAAGTTGACTCGGAGCTATGCTGGAATTGTACTGACTCCGACACACTCCATTGTCCATGGTCAGTAAGGTGGCCTTCTGAAGGGTGTTCGACTTGGAGGCAGCAAAGCCCAGGGTTCCCCAACCCAGGATGTCCACATTCTGGTAGTTAAAGTTGTTGTCACTGTAGGAGGATTATTAATAAACTTAATATGGAGGTTTAGGATTTTAGGTTTGAGGCCTATATTCTTACGATTGTCGAATGGGCAAGCAAATGGGCGCCACACCACGAGACCATTCTATACGAGTAACAGTTTGCAGCAAGGCTATGTCATTGATGTTTCCTGAATTGGTTTCTGCATATCCTGGATGGTTTATAATACTCTGAATGCGGTACTGAGCGGCGTATATAGATTCGCTGGCTGTAAAAAAGTATTTTTTTTAGCCATCCTCGTACTATCTTTAAGGACTTACTCGTACTAAGATCATGTTCTCCTACCAAGGCCAGTAACCGACTAGCGACCGGCTGGCGAGCCGTACAGTGAGCTGCCGTCATAATGAACCGATCGCTGACTATGCTGCCTCCACAGAAAATCGGCAGGTTGGAGGTCAAGTCCCGGAGGCCCACCATCGAGGGGTACTCGTGCTTGGCCGCCTCCACTCCGTTGGCAATACGCTCCGGAAAGGACCAGCCGCAATCGCAGGGCACTTGGCGGGCCACCGCTTGGCAACTGAGCCTGGCCCGTTGCTGGCTGAAGCTATTGCTGGAATAGTAGGCAAAGGCCATGGCCTGGAAGTTGGATATCCTCGTGATTTGACCCATGCGGCAATAGCGTTCGGCATCCCGAAATTGCAAGTCCCCGTCCCGGGAAATGAACAGAAACTCCGAGCCGCAGGTGTCCGGGAACTTCCAGCAGAAAATAAAATAAATCCTTGATTCGATTACCTTGTTTGTAACTTACCACCTCGAAGCGGCAACTTAGATGAATGACATGATTGCTGGGAGCTCTCAGCCGAAATCTGCAGTTGCTGCCACTGGGGATGGCACCAGGATAATTGGCACTAGTCAGATTCAGGACTCGATTCGGCTGCAAGTCGTACATCCGAGTGCACTGCTGTTGGCAGAGGGCCGAACTGATTAAGAAAAAGCCCAGAAAAACAGACCATCTTAGGCCGGTCATTATGGGACAGAAGTTGAGGCACTTGTGAAGTTAACAAGATCTTCATTCATCTTATATACGATTACATCAGGCAGCTATATCTTTTTTATTTGTGGATCAAATAAATAAATATGAAGATGAAGGTTAAGAGATACCGAAAAGTAAAACTAGGGCAGTTGACTTGATCATTTATTTTATTGCAAGGTAACCACACAATTGGAGTTGCCAATTTTCTGGCGTATCCAGCTGATGTAGGATGTTATCCTGGTGTTCACACCCATCGGATAGGCTGTCTCGGCACAGCTCTTGCCAAAGCTAATCACTCCGAGGAGGAACTGCTTAGACTTTCGCAGAATGACTGGACCACCGGAATCGTACTGGCAGGAGTCCCGACTTGTTCCCGAATAGTCGTAGGTACACATCTGGCCGGAGTTTATAGTAGCCACTCCATTGTATTCCGTCTGACAGTCCGGATTGTTGACCACCATCAGGTTGATCTTCTGCAAGTTAGATGACGTGGGACCGGCAAAGAAGATCGTTCCCCAACCGATCACATCCACATTTTCGTAGGAAAAGGAGGCCGTTCTGTGTCGAAATAAAAGGGAATGACTTAGATTTGGATAAGAGACCTTAACCCCCAAGACCTACGTTCCCACTGGCGGTAAGCAAATGGGTCCTACGCCCCGGGACCACATAATGTTGCTGGCTGTAACGAAAACGGCGATATCGTTCTTTACATTCGGCTCACTGACATACTGCTCATGGGGTATCATCTGTTGGATGTTATACTGCTGGTAGTACCGCGAACTGGAAGCTAATTGGGGCCTTAGCACATATCTTTATTAGTTTGTTGTGATTTACTTACGATTCAAGAGGTTGTTGGTGCCAGCTATGGCCACCACATTACTGGCCTGCTTCACCTGATAGACACAATGAGCAGCAGTCAGTATATAACGATGGGCCACTGAAACGAACACTTCCTGCTGTATCCTTTATATTATTTTGGAGAGAATAACTCACCTATGGTTCCTCCACAAAAGGATGGCTGGCTGCTAGTAACATCCTTGAGGGCCACCATGCTGGGAAATTCATTGGCAGTCGCCGCCTCTCCATTGGCTATCCTGGAGGTGGCCGACCAGCCGCAGTTGCAGTTCTGTTTCACGGTGGTGAGGGTGCACCTGAAGGAGCCGCCCTTGGTGCCCGTCGAAATGTACGCAAAGACCAGTTCCGTGAAGAGGGACTCCCGCGAGAAGGTCCCGGAGCCGCAGAAATTCTCAGCGCCGCGCATCAGAAGATCGCCTTCCGAGTCCAGCCAAAAGTTGTCCGTGTTGCACTGGCCATTATTCTGCGGCAAAGACAAAAGTCCCTTAAGTTATTTCCATTAGTCGAGTCGTTTATCACAGTAATGCCCCACCGATGGCAATGCAATGGTGCATTGCACCTGAATGTAGTAGTCCACGGGTGCCTTAAACTTGTAGCGGCAGGATGTGCCGGCAGGATAATTGCTAGGATAGTAGGGTGACTCCACGTAAACGGTTCCCGGATTGAGATTATAGGTGTTGTCACAGCCCTCGAAGTAGGCCAGAACGGCGGGAGACAGTAGCACTATTGAGATTAAATAGCGGTTTAACATTTTGGCCAGACCTGTCGGCTGCGAAGCCAGCACTCAACTGGGCTAGCACGATAATGCCACCCACACCTAATACCGCTAAGACAACGCAAAACCTAATTAAAAAATTGAAACTAAAAGGCCGCGTTCCAGCAGATGATAAAAAACAGTTGGCACTTGTGCAAATACAAGTTCTGTAAATCCAATGCCCTTGCCAAATGCACACGAGTATCGGCTTTGAACTTGGCCAATAGGTTTCTAAGCGATCTACCTTGGCGTTTTCCATTTTCTAGATAAGTGGCAATGCATTTAAGAGGCCAATATACACCCCTTTTACGAGCCATAGCCATGTTTTTCATTCACGGCCCAGATCGTAGAGGGTTATCCGCCAGCTGGGCTGATAAGCTGAAGCCGAAAGCTTAAGTAAATAAACATTTTTTTTCGAATAATGACTTCTAATTAAAAGGCAAATAATTGCGAATATAAAAAAGCGGCGTCAATGTACGCAGATATGTTTAAACAGATTAAAAAGGGAATTTCACGTTTTCCGGTGTACCCATTTTTTTGATGATATAATAGATAAAATATACTAACAGTTCATATCAAGAAAAAATCATATTTTATTCTCTTTTTTTCGTTATCTTGTTATCATATTTTTTTAAAGTTTTTTCCATAATAATTCCACTCTTTTAAGCTCAAAAGCAAATATTTAAAATGATCAGAAATGAATAACTAGATACTCCCACAGTTACATAAACCTACAAAAATCAATTAGGGATATCGGTAAAAAGAACAAAACATTAATGGCTGACAAGGTGCAGCTAAATGTCGATGAAAATCAAGCAATCTGTCGATCAAAAATTGACTTTATGCAAAAATGGCCAGAAACACACACACACATACACTGTATACGCGCACATGGTCGCATAAAAACAGCGCCTAAAAGCATGCATCAGTTTTGTCACTGGACGCCCCGGGCCGTGTAATTATAATATGGAAACAATTTTTTTTGTTTCTTTTTCGGCTGCAACACTTTTGCCGCACCTAACCCTCCTCTCTAATTTCCCCGCCCTGGTACATAACGCTCCAATGTCTATATTTTCTAGTGTCACCCATTTTTTTATGCAATCGTTATGTTTTTTTTAAGTTACTGGTATGTTGTTGCTTTGTTTTAACATTTTTTGCCGTTCATTTGCATTTTCCACTAATTTGACTTTTGTATTGTTGTGGTCGGTCCTCGTCAACCTGCTTCGTTGCCCCCTCCCGCCAGGCACTCTTCATCTCTACTGGGAGTTTATGTGTTAGAGTTTTTTTCAGGTCCTTTTTGCGTTCCACCAATCGCATTCCCTCTTCCACGGCTCGTCGGTGTGTGTGTGAGTGCGCGTGGGTATTGGTGGGTGGGCTGCGCTACGCACTTTTTGACTTTTCGTTGGGGAAAATGCGTTTTCATGCATTGGTTGGCTGGCGAGTGGCATTTGGAGAGTGGGACTAGGAGTGGGTGTGGTTGTGGTAGTGGTAGTGGGGCATTCGGTTGCCACCTTCTCGCATGTCCATCTATGTCTCTTTTTGCGTTAGTTGGAGTGCATTTTCCCAGGGCTTGTCATTTGATGTGGCTGTGACTCTGTGGCCATATCATTAATTGCCGTTAGCCGGTAACAGGAACTAGAGGCATAAAAAATGCACAACACACGCAAATTAGTGGGAAGCTGGTAATTGGTTTGAAAAGGAGGGGTATTTTACAGGAAAAGGAAATGGAATATTTTGTAATTAAATATTATAGTTATATATGGTATTTAATAAGGGGTTTTGATGACTTTCTAACCAATTTATTTAATATATTTGTCATTACTTAGAGCCCTGATAGATTTATTACCTTTTCTGGAGTATAGTTTCCAAATCTAATTAGTTTCTTTTGGAGTTTCCCTTTCTGAACTGAAGAACTTGTAAACTGTAATTGCCGTTTCCTGGACCATAATCCCACAGAATGGATGCATCCATCAAAAGCACTGGCTATTCCCGGCTATCCTGGCACCTCAATCACTTCCCAGATTCCATTTACAACCCATGCACACAAATCCACATCCATATGGTGTAGGCCCAATAGATAGAACATTCAATTTGCTGCACCTTCAATCACTATAAATCCAAACAAATTTCCGCTCCTTTTTTGTTGCTCCTCTCCTATTTCCAGCAACGCTTTTCAAATGCAAACTAAGCAAATTTTAATTAATGAAAAATTGCAATTAAAAAACCGGACTCGGCTTTCTTTCCCACCAACTTCCCAACTATCTCCCTCGCACAGTTTTCCATTTAACCCTATAGGTTATAAAAAACGGCCAAAGAAAAGAGCAAGCCATCCACAGGCAAACAAAAACACAAAATTTCTGGGCCCAGTAAATGCAAAAAAATAAGAAAAAACGCATCATGTATGTGCGAGGCATGTACAATTTTTTACCGTTAGTAAAGGGAGGGAGGTGTTTTTCGAATGTGTGTGTTAAGGGGGAGGAGTGGGTGGCTAGCATCTAAGCAAAGCTCTGCCGCTGCCAGTGGCGCCGATTAACATAAACACGCAAAAAACATTAACAGAGTCTCAGCAGCGGCAGCAGAAACAGGCAGTACAGCGCCGTTTTGGCCAACGACAACGCAGTTAGAAAACCCCAACGGAAAAAAATGGAAAAACTAAGGCAGAGCTGGGCAAAAAACAAAAAAAAAATATTTCATACATAGATAACGCGGCGTATGTGTAATGTGCGAATGGGATGGAAGGCGGCTGAAACGTTGCTGGCTGCCTCTCATTCTGGCATTCGCTCATTACACTCATTTCGCATAGTTGTTGTTGTTAGTTAGTTTGGGGCTGGCGCATAGGCAATTTTCCACACTCACACAAACCCACACACACACAACTGCTGCAGCAGCAGCAGCAGCACCCAAACCCAATCACAAAAACGCGTTAATAAGAGGAAAACGTGGCGCAAAAAACTACACACAAGTCCACACACACACAGACACAGATGCACGGTGGGAAATAGCGATTTCCCCACTTCGCCCAGCCCAGAAACCGGCTCCACCAATCACAGAATTTGTTTACGAATTTTGCGGCAAAAGCAACAGAAAGAAAACACTTGGGGAAAAAGAAAAATGCTGCGCTCTTTTCCAGCCCCGCTCTCTATGTCTCTCTCGCGGCCCAGTTTTTATTTTTCTTTCCGCAGCCCCACGTGCTGTGGAGTCTCCTCAAGAGCACTTCGTTGGAGTCTCTCTCTCTTAAATGGCGCGCTCTTTGCTTCGTTGAGTTTTTCCCACTGTGGTGGAGCCGGTGGGTGGCGAGGAAAACCGGGGCAGTACTGGCAGCGCGGGGGTCGGGTGACTTTGGTTGGCTGCGGCTCCGGCTACGGCCCCAGCCCGGCGATGGGAAACGAGTT